TTACTCAAATTTATATTCATGAAAGCAGATGTTAAAATTTTCACTTGTGGAGAAATAGTCAATATGAACATTTACAGACCTGGAAATCAGCAAGTACCTCAGAGGATAAATTAGATCTTACAATGGATAGGCAAGTTGAATAAGTCAACATGGACAAAAAGGTCATCTAGTTATGGGAATTATTACCATTTTTATTCTTGGTACTTTCAGATATGAGTACAGTTTTTAAAAATGATAATATTTGCTTTTTTAGAAACATCATCTCCATATCGTCCTACTAAATTTATCATTGTTGTGAGAATTGTCGTTTATGTGTTGAGTGAAGCAGTGTGTATTAGTTAATAACCCTAAGCGTCAACTCCTGGTTAAGTTGGGTAAGTTCGGGGGCACCTGGATGGCTCAGTTGTTAAGCGTCTGCCTTCGGCTCAGGTCATGGTCCCGGGGTCCTGGGATCGAGCCCCGTATCGTGCTCCCTGCTCAGCGGGAAGCCTGCTTCTCCCTCTCCCACTCTGCCTGCTTGTGTTCCTTCTCTTGCTGTGTCTTTCTCTGTCAAATAAATAAAATCTAAAAAAAAAAATAGAATAAAAAAGATAATAATTTTTATGTATACAAATAATATATATGTATACTCTTTTGACAAAAGTGTCACACATTATAGTATATGTATATAATGTAAAATCCCTCTAGAATCTGTGCGTGGTCCCTATCCACTACTCAAGAGAGGTAATCAGATACCTGTGTGCACCCTCGGATCACTTGCATTCTCTATCTCTATCTCCTCTCTCTCTCTCACACACACCTCTCTTGCATGCATATCTGCAGAAAGGTATAGTATTGTGTTTGGTTTTAGCAAAAAGTTCATCACACTGTACAAATGCTCCATTCACCTCTTGCATCAGATATCTTTCTTTGCCAGGGCAGAGAGCTACCTCATTCATTTGCTACAGAGCAGTCCAAAACGTGGATGTACTGGTTTTATTATTCATTTTTCTGTTGGTGGGCATCTAGCCTGTTTCCCCATGTTTCTACCCTTGGCACCAGTGCACAGTGAACATGCTTGTGCTTGTGATTAGTGTTCATCTTAGGTAAATACGTGAGATCACAGTGTCTTTAATTAGTATATATTACTTTATTGGCTTCTAAAGTGACCGTGACATTTTTAAAGAAAAGATTTCGGATTGTTTTGAAGAAGTTTTGTATTCTGGCAAGCCTGTCCCATAATTATTTTTTATTATTTTTATTTTATTTTACTGATAATGTATTTGTCTCCTTTAGGTAGCACTTGCAGCATATCATCCCAGATCAGTACCCTCTCCCTTTCTTAAAAAATAACCTGGAGGTCTCCTTTCTACTTAGAGTCACTGCAAAGCTTCTCCAATCGATGGTCCCAAAGTAACTTTAACATTCTCTAGTGGTCAATTTGCCAGTGAGACATGATGGCCGAGAGGCTTAGTGCTGGTTCTGTCAGCCTTGTGATCTGGGGCAAGGTATGTTCTCCTAGGCTTAGGGTCAGGATTGAATGAGTTACTGTATGTAAAGCATATGGCGGGGCATATGGTACATAGCGAGGACTCAGTAATTGTTGGCTGATTCTTCCATGTAGCTGCTGCCCGTTACTCAGCAAACACTATCTGCCTATTATGTGCTGGGAGCATAAAGATAAATAAGACATGGTCCCAGTGCTTGAGGAGCTTACATTCTAACATGCATGTGTTTGCTCAAAATCTAAGTACTTATTCCTTTCTTTCTATTTAAACTCTGTCCATGGCCTAGTTTGCTTTCCTCCCATGTCAGCTGACTTCTGCATCATGAAGGGCAGCCTCTCACATCTTAACTCATTCTCTTTAATGGTGATTCAGCACCTACTACATCCCCAAATTATTGTTAAAAACTGGAATGCAGAGATGGTGTGTAAGACAATCTGTAAGGAGCTAACAGGCTCCAGGGAGGAGAAAAAAAAAAAACAAACAAAACTTCAGAGTTCTGCAAGACTTTTTCCGCTTCTCTATGATGGCTTTCCACCTGTGGACTTGCTCTGTTTTTACCTTGCATTGCCTCTGTTAATAAAGATAAATAATCTCCATTCTCTCTTTCTGGGGACAGAGGGTGAGGTGTTAGCAGCAAGGGAGTTCTTAATTCTCTGTCTTTATCAATGACATAACTCTTTGGACTACGCTTGTTAGGTAGGAGCTGTTTTCTTTCCCAGGACTGAAGAAAAACCAGAGGGGCTTAGAAATTCCTGGCCATCCATGCCCAGGTGGAACCAATTTGGTAAAAGAACCTTTTGCTGCAAAGATTCTGCAGGTCACTGAGACCGATCGGTTCATACCCATGCTTCCCAGGGAGTTCTCCCCTCAATCCCATGAGCTTCTTTGGGAATGGCACACTTTAGGGAATTCTTGACCTAGAGTAGGAAAAGGTAGCAGTCCTTTATCCCCCTAACATAGATTCTTCTTTAAAAAGTAATAAATTACCTTTGATGACTCAGGGATACCTCCTTGCTTTGATTACCATTACAAGATTTATTTGGTTTGTTCATAATAAGTGTATTAGGTTTGATCTTACTTTAAAAGCCTGTCCTGGCACAGATGTCTTGCTGAACTGTGAATGGACATCGAGGCTCCTTTTAAAGGAGACTTAAGCATTTGTTGCCACAACCGGATCTGAGCATAATACTGAGCTCAAGAAAGATCATTTTCTCAACAGAAATAATTTATTATTGCCAGAGGTAATGTGAAATTATTTATTTTTTCTTGAAGCATGTTTTTTGTAAATGTTTTCCAGAGATACGTGACTTGAAATTAATGACACTCTCCTTTGTAAAGACTTTATTTCATTTCATGTACTCTATTGACCCCCTGGGAGAATATCCAGTCTAGAGAGGAGAAAACGGACGTGGTGCCAAACAGCCACGAGTGCCTCCAGTAGATGAGGTGTTTGCCTGAATGCTTCATGGGGGACTTCATCCCTATGCTGTATTTTGTGTTTTTTGGCATCTTTGGTTCATTTGTGGAAGCTTGTCTGTTAGAATTCCATATACATTTCATTGGCTTTGAAAGATATTGGGGTTGACATAAACCTACTGAAAGGAAAGTTTGCATCGAAAGTAATACATTTCCTAGTCAAAGAAAACACCATTGTTCTGGCATCAGTGGATGCGATTTTTGTTTTCTTTTAACTTCCCAGTAGTAGTGAAGCTATTTGGGTCAGTTATCTGGTAATTGTCAGAAGGAAAGTTATATGTATATTTTACTGGTTAGTGGTTCAGACTGGCCATAAAGTGGGAGGGAAAAGAAAAGGACCTTCTTCCCCCACACATGAGGTCATACTGCTCATCACAGCTTTATGAACATAGTAAGAAACTGAAGTCATCTCTGACTGAGGTTGTCGAGTTGGAGGAGTAACATCTCCCAGAAAAGAACTTCTGTGAGAATTCTGAAAAATCTGTTGATGGAGGCTTCTGCCCATTTAGTATTGTCAGCATATTACTGTTGATGTCTTACAATTTCCGGTGTACTTCTCACATAAACCTATAGTGCCTCAGCTAGCTGCATTTTCATTATTTTCCACCAGTCCCACCGATTCAAACTTCCTTCCTTTAACTGTTTGCTTTCATCTTCTCTAAGCCCTGGGGATTCTTCTTGGCTTCCAGAAAAAGTCCTCCTTACTCCCTTCTCCCACTCCCCATTTCTCTTTACATAGCCTTCTTTGTCTAAAGAGTGTCCTGGTGATCAGCACGCTGTGACAGAGTGTGTGTGAGGACTGGTGGGTAACGACTGACAACTGCAGGTACGTGTCCAGGGCTCTTAGAACCTTAAAAACCTTCTGCCGTATGAAATAGGATAGGGCCAGTCTTTCTTCCTTTGATTGCTTGCTTTCCTGATTGCTCTTTTGTAGAAGATCCAGTATCTCTTCTACATACTCAGTCTGTATTAGGAGTGTTGGATTTCTCCATAACTCCCCTCTCCGTCTCGGAAATAGACCCAAGGCTTCACTCAGGACCAGAAGATATAGTTAGGGTGGCATGACAGATAGAAATTAGTGAAAAGTTTAGGCTTATCCAAAAAAATAAATGTTTGATACATATGGGACTTCTTCAAGCTGTCCTCTGCTTTATATAGCAAAGGACAAAATGAATCACTCCATAACAAGGGGTCCTAAGAGATACCAAACTCAATTAAAATTGATTTAACTTGGGGCACCTGGGTGGCTCAGTCGGTTAAGCGGCTGCCTTCTGCTCAGGTCAGGATCCCAGGGTCCTGGGATCGAGCCCCGCATCGGACTCCCTGCTCAGCGGGAAGCCTGCTTCTCCCTCTCCCACTCCCCCTGCTTGTGTTCCCTCTCTCGCTGTCTCTCTCTGTCAAATAAATAAATAAAATCTTAAAAAAAATTGATTTAACTTCTGGGGAGCTGTCCAGATTATACTCCACAAATACTAATATGATAATATCCATTTTAGCCATAAAGCATCTCATTGGATCTCGTGTCTCTTTTCCTAGATTATAGATCATGGGCAGTAATAGACTGTCTCTCGAACCAACAGAGTGTAGATCTCACTGCTTCAGATTTCCAGCACGGAAGGCGAGCCATGAAGAAGTAGGCTCACATGGCTCTGTTGGAGAATGGCCGTACACGTGACAGGCGGCCTGGCCTGGAGTGGGCTAACCTTTTCTCATTTAAAGTTCTCTTTTCCCTCCAGAACTCATTGGAGAATCATTTGCATCTTATATTTCATCTGCGTTTATCTCATCCCAAGCTCTTCATCCTTCTGTTGAGTTACATGTTCTCTGGAGTAAATGTTTTCTACTGTCTGACAGTGTAAAAAAAAAAAAAGAAAGAAAGAAAAGAAAGAAAAAGGTGAACGGTGGCACAGTTAGCATGAAAAATGGTGAAGATAGGAATAGAAAACGGGAAAATGTATGTCACTCTGGAAGTTCTGTACAATATAAGAAAAGTGGAGCAATCAATTTCTATTAACATATATATTCTTTTAAATTTAGGAACAGACGGACAGTCTGTGGAAGTGTCCAATATCGTGGACATCCGAAAAGAACATAACCGTGAGATTGCAATGAGAATTTCTTCTAGCATAAACAGTCAAAACAAATTTTATACTGACCTGAATGGATATCAGGTAATTTTCCCTTAAAATGTCTAAGTAATAGCTGTGTTAGTGTGTAACTTTTATATATGGTAGTGGGCCAGTTAATTTTGGATCCTTTGAAAAATATGCTTAAGTTTACAAATTATTTCTAAAGGAAAACTGAATTTTAACAGGTACTTATAGGTTCTATATTCAACCAGATGTCCAAAGTTAGAACAGATATTTGAGAGATTGGTTTGTAGAGCATCTGATTTACGGAGGTAGTTTTTTCAAAGGCAGATTTGGTGACCATTTGCATGTTAAATGCCTTGACACCAAAATATATCTGAATTTGTTTAATAGAAAGGAAACATAATTAGGGATTGGTGGAGTATGTATTTTTCCCCTCATAAAGAAATGGTATGTGTGTATTTAATTTATTACATATATACTTTTAAATGTATAATGTAATAATGGGCTCTTTTAAATTTCAGGAAAGCTCTTTCCCTCTTTTTATCAATAATGTATGTGTATTTACCTTTATGCACACACTTGTGTACATATACATAGACAAAGAAATACAAGCACATATATAGAAATGTGGGCAGGTATGTATTTAATCAAAATGTTCACAAAATAGTTTGAAATAGTAATGAGAAAATTGACTCAATCTTTTTCAGATTGTTAGCTCTCTAATTTAATAGGGCTCTTTTGATTGTTACATAAATTTCTATATTCAGAGTATATGTGTGTGACAACATAGCTTTGAAATACTACCACTAAAAACATTAGCATGTTTTTGAGACATTAGCATTTTAGAAATTTCTGGCTATGAATAGAAATAATTTCACAACAAATGCTTTTACTTTGTCTGATTTTCAACTGGGATGAGTGGAAGGGGTTGTGATAATTTTCTCTTCTACAATTTCCTGCAAAGGTTAAATTTAAACCTTTTCCAAAGCATAAAAATTGCATTATACACTTTGAATTTACATGTTAATTCTACCACAGCTGTTTGGTTTTCAAATGAAGCCCTGACTTTATGGTGATTCATTTTCCTTGTGTACAAAAGAAACTCTTTTCTTAAAATCTTACAAAAGCAATTATTTGTATGTGTGGGTGTATACATGAATGAAAAAAACTTAGTAAAAGTGAATAAACATGTGAATTTTCTTTTCAAGGATCGAGCATTTGAATAAATGGGAAAATATTATTTCTAAACTTCTAAATTTCTAAATTTATGACCTAAATATTTCTGCTTCTAAAATAGGCCATTTTTTAAGCCTTGGAAAGAGTAGTCCTTGAGCAAAACTAGAAATCTAGACCAACAGGTAGGGAGTGAGGGTGGCAGCCCTATAGTCATGACAGTGTGAATGTCCTTTTCAGTGAGTATACAAGTTAATTTGATTGGGAAGATCCAGATTGGAAAGGAGAAATGGAAAATTCTTTGAAACTCTCTCTTCTTTTTTCTTTCTTTCTTTTTTTTTTTTTTTTTAACATTTTGCAGTTGTTTCTTCAGGTTCATAATTTCCTGGGCCTGTGATACAAATTACCACAAAATGGGTGGCTTAGAACAACAAGAATTTATTCTGTCATAGTTCTGGACACCAGAAGTCCCAAATCAAGATGTCTTCAGGGCCACACTCCCTCCAGAGGCTCTAGGGAAATACTCTTCCTTGCCTGTTGGGGCTTCTGATGGGCTTGTAGACCCATCACTCCACTGTCTGCCTCTGCTGTCCCAGAGTCCCTGTCGTATTCTCCTTGTGTTGCCGTGTGTGTCCTTTCGTGTCCAGGTTTCCCGCTTAGAAGGACACCAGCCCTTGGATTAGAGCCCACCCTAATCCACTATACCTTATGTCTGTAGAGATCCTATTTCAGAACAAAATCACATTCACAGGTTATGGATGACCATGAATTTGGGGGACACTATTAAGTACAACCAGTAAGTTAAAGGATGCACTACAGGGTTGTTGTAAAGATTAAAGATCATATTTGTGAAAGCCCGTACTTTGTCTCATTATAATGGGCACTCAATACTATTACATTAACTTTGTACTCCTTTTCTTCTTGAGTGTCATGTCACACTTGCATGAGCTGAACAGGAGAGATGTCATTTTTATGTGGTGTGAATAAGATACCTCATAACAAAGTCTCTGTTTGATGTTTCCTCCTGAGGTTTGAGGGACTCTCCTCAGCCCCAACCAGCTTAGTGAATTTTCGGTCAAAAAATAAAATAATGTATTTCATGCATTCACATACCAGACCAAGAAAAGTTAAAATATGGAACTACCTACATTGACACTAAACAGGAAGAATAAGCACTGACGAGTTTTTAAATATAAATATTAATTTGATTATTTTAATGTAATATGTTAGAGGATTTGATAAGGGGATCTGTGGTATTTATTAAAACTGATTCAAGAATTATAAGAGAGATTTTTTGAAAGGGGATAGAGAGCTATTATGCTTAGCATTCATTACAAAAGCAGTATGTTAGATTTAGATGAGAAATGAATACTTGATACCTTTATAATTTGTTTTATGCAAATATTGGAAAGCTAGAAGACTTTTGTTAAGGATTTTTATTCTGAATTTAAATAGGAATGCCTATTTTAAGAACCTGGATGAGTTCTACCTTTCTCACCTAAAAGTTTTCTAAGATCCTCCTTATTTTTTTTTTTTCATATTGTTTGAAAGAATGTTTTAATTCCTAAATTAGCTCTTCCTTTGAACAAGAAAGGAAGCTATACCTTTTTCTTTTTGGAAGAAACGTCATCTGTAGTCAGTACTAATTTTTTAAAGTACATCTGTAAATATCCCTTGATTTCTTTTTTTTAAAGTGAACTGTTTGGTCTTATAGATTCAGCCCAGAATGACGATGAGCAAATTGCCTCTTCAAGCAAATGTCTATCCGATGACCACAATGGCCTATATACAGGACACCAAGCATTGCTTGACATTACTCTCAGCTCAGTCTTTAGGGGTTTCAAGTTTGAAAAGTGGTGCGTGTTGTTTGGATTCTTTTTTGCTCTTACAAGTTTCAGTTCCAAATGTATAATTTTTCTGTTGGTCATATTATTAATTATCATCTTCAGACACCAGCTATTAGTTAATTTTGGTTTTGTGAGAATAACATAAAATAATGTATTTCTTCAATCTTCTGATGAAGAATGAGGGACCTAAAGCTCCATGAAACCATGGCTTCTTAAAGATAATTTTTCTCTCCTGATAGCTCATTGTTTGCACAAGCCTCTGTCATTGTCATAATGGAATGGCTGTGGAAACTCTCCCAGAAGCCAAAGAGGAGAGGGAGCTGGGGTAAAAGTTAGAAATTCCCAGAGTTGCCTAAGTTCGCAAAGGCGGGACGTAACAGTTCAAACCTAGGTGCTTCTCTGAATCGTATCGTTCTAGGGCACTTCTACCCGAAAGAAGAAAGGGAGTTGCAATGATACAGCTAGGCAGATAAAGAGGTGACAGACACAACTTTAAGGATTCCAAAAGATAGAACAAGATGGAAAGAGAAAATAAATCGTAAACACAGATTAATTTTTATAAAACCTTCTATGGAGAGGCGTATGTCCTTTATAATACATATTTTTTCATTATCATTTATATGTAGTCAAATTGCTCTTCTTTCTTACATATTAAGAGTTGCTAAGACAAATGTCTTAAGGAGCCAGGCAGATAATAAAGGTGTGCAGGTACCTGACGTACCCTTTGCCCCAAACCCACTTTTTTAATTGGGCATATACATACATTCCATATGTCCACCCACACAAAAAAGCATACTACTCATCTTCTTTTGTGGCTTTCATTACACAGACTCATGGGATGATGCCATAAAGACATTAACGCTGTTAGAAAAATAATAATGGCCTCACATCAGGGATGCAGCGGGGAGTGGTGGGGCTTCGGCAAACTGGGGCACACCATTCCCAGTGAACGGTGGGGCAGCCGCTGCTCAGCGCCAGGTTGTTGTCACCATGGGGAAAGGGGCCCAGGATTGCCAAATTTTTCTGCTTCTGAAGAGCCCAGGAGTCTGGAATTTTTTATGTTTTTATTTTTTTTTTTTTTGGAGATTTTATTCATTTATTTGACAGAGAAAGAGAGAGACAGCGAGAGAGGGAACATAAGCAGGGGGAGTGGGAGAGGGAGAAGCAGGCTTCCCAGGGAGCAGGGAGCACAATATGGGGCTCGATCCCAGGACCCCGGGACCATGACCTGAGCTGAAGGCAGCCGCTTAATGACTGAGCCACCCAGGCACTCCATATGTTCTGATTTTTAAAAAATTAAGTCAACTATTTATAGATTGGACAACTTCACATAAAATTCCTAAATGTGGTTTAGGGACAGAGGAGCTTTATTTCTCAGCTTGCCTTTGTCAAGGGAAGTGACATAACTGTCTACTCCATGATTGCTCCAGTCCTAATGTCTAGTTCCCTATTTAAGGACCCAGCTTTGAGAATTTAAGGCAACGTTTAAAAATGGGGGGCTCAAGAGTCACACCTGGCCCAGGTGCCCCTGCTACAGACAGCCAAGCACCCTAGCATTTCAGTACCTACAAACAGAAGAACAATTTGAGTACAGCCCAGGAGATTTACTGAGTGTCACATATTATGAGGGCTAACATTTGGAGGCAGGGAGAAGAGAGAAACTGCCAAGAGATTGATGTACTCATTTGGGTGTGACATGATCAAGCTCTAGATGGCCAATTCGTCCCAGTGCCTGAGGAGCACATTCTAGACAGTTGTGTTCTAAAATAAATATGGAGGTAGTAACAACGAAAATTCTGACCATCACTGGCAGTTTTATGTACTGGGTACCTAAATTGAGAAGAAAGAACTAAACAGAGTTGGATTGACTGTGTAAAAATAATAGTTATTAAAATATTTTATGTATTGCTCTTTTATGCCAAAAGATCATTTAGTACTGTAACAAATGTGAATGAGTGGATGGATGAATATGCATATATTTTTATGTATGACTAGGTTTTTTTTTAGTGTAAATATATGACTGTGGCTCTGGGTGGTTTTTTGCTTTGTTTTGGATAGGGTTTTTTGGTTTGTAGTCTCATAGCCTAATTCTTAGCTTACAACTTAACCTAGAGGAGGTGTGGAATTACTGCACAGCCAATGAAGGAACCAAATATGACCTCTTCTTGAACTAGAGGAGAGAGGATAGTTGATGCCACTAACTTAATACCAGGGAGGGAAGGGGGTACGTGCTGGGTGTCTCCAAATCCTGGGGTTTCTTCAGAGAATCACCAGATACCAAGTAACCAAAACGCTTAGTCTTTCAAATCCTTTTTAGATTCTACACATCTGTAGTTGCCTTGTTACTCCAGGTGTGATGTATGTTTCCTAATGAACCTCGTAAATGTTTTTAAATTCCAGGTGCTACCACTAAAAATTTTAGAGGACATAATTTACTCTTCAGATTAATTCTTTTTAAATTTCACTTAAGTTTTGATCTGTCTCATTTTTAAATTTCTTACCAAATTTTACCAGACATTTATGAAGAAGAACGGAAATAAAGTCCTGTTTTTTGCATTTATCCTAGCTGTTTTGAGAAAGCCCTTGGTACTTTGGGCTATATGGATCTGTCTCCTTGGCTTAAATCAGGACCGTGCCTAAACTTATGTGATTGTCACTGGATGTTTGTATTAAATAACTCTGGCCAGTTTGTTTGTTTGTTTGTTAGGTCAGATTGAAGTTATCATGGATCGAAGACTCATGCAAGATGATAATCGCGGCCTTGAGCAAGGTGTCCATGATAACAAGGTTACAGCTAATTTATTTCGACTACTACTGGAAAAAAGAAGTGTGAATACGGTAGGAAAAAAATAATAACTCATACGTTCTGATGTTGTTTGTTCTTTGCCACCCAAAATTTGAAATTATGACTGTCCACTTTTTTTATGATTTTCAGTTCCCAGGATTGAGATATCTTTATAATAGGTGTAGCCTATATTGACAAAAAAGAGAACTTCAGTTACACATATGTCAGATTTGCATGTAGGTCATCTTATTTTTTATTTTTCCTTATTATGTAGATGTAAAATGTTAAAGAATCAGTTTGGGTGAGATTTTCTGAGATTATTTTGAAAGAAAATAAGAGTTGAATTTAAGAATAGAACTTAATCACATACTTAGATTAAGTTTGATTAGTAAAATTTATGGGAAACCTTAGTGTGCTTATTCTAGTCTTAGACTCCTCAATTGAAAATGGATTTACTTGTCTATCTTCTTGCTCAGTTTTCATTTCTCAAGACAAAACCTCAGCATTCCATTAAAAAAATCTGGCTAAAGCTCAGTTGGATGTAAACCAACATGACAATACGCCTCTTCAAGGCTACACAAAAGTCATCATCACAGTCCTCCGTGCTTTACTGATTTCCCACCTCAGATGATCTGTACACAGCCCTTTTTTTCTCACTCTGCTCTCCTTCTTTCTTCACTGATCCATTTCAGATCTTTTCTACTCTTTTTAGCTGGTGGCCTCACCATCGACTTCACATCTGACAGGGCTCTCTGTTCTGGGTATCAACCATCTCCTCCCACCCTTTCCTTCTTCCCTCATGTTGCAATAGAGACATTTTTACCTTCCTTTCCTCCCAGGCCAGTACCTCCACTTGTCCTTGCAACGTACCCCAGCGCCCTCCTCAGCATCATCATCCTCCTTCCCTCTCTCTGCCCTTCATAGCTGACATTTCCCTAGGAAAGAAACCCTTTCTGCAGGCTTTTAGACACTCTTCATTTTCTCCTATTAAAAATAAAAACCAAGGGCGCCTGGGTGGCTCAGATGGTTAAGCGTCTGCCTTCGGCTCTAGTCATGATCCCAGGGTCCTGGGATCGAGTCCCACATCAGGCTCCCGGCTCAGCGGGGAGCCTACTTCTCCCTCTGACCCTCTCCCCTCTCATGCTGTTTCTCGCTCGCTCGCTCTCTAAAAAATAAATAAAATCTTTAATAAATACATACATACATACATACATACATACATACATACCAAAAACAACCTCCACACAGACTCATGTCCATTTGCCCTGCTCTCCCGTCCTGTCTTCCACACCCAGTTGAGCCGCTTTGGAAGATGGGTTTATTTCATTGCTTCCGTGTCACACTCAACTCATTTCGGATTTGCTTTAGCTTCCCCCACCACACACACACCCTTGCCAGTGTCACGAGATCCACCATCTTACTTCACCTTGCAGCAGCATTCGACACTGACCATGTCACTTCTTAGAAGACAGTCTAGCCAGGGCTTCCGTGGTGCCATGCTCATCTGGTTTTCCTCCTAGCTCTCAAGTGGTTCTTTATCTCTCTGATGGTTATTAAGCCATTAAATGTCAGAGTCCTCAAGGGTTGGCCCCACGCCTTCTCCTTTTCTCGTTTTATATGTTCTCCCTCTGCAATCTCTCCTACTCCTGTGGCTTTGGTGACCACCTCTACGCAGATGAAACCCACACATATATTTCACCTCTTACCTGCAGACCCATCTACCTAGCTGCATCCTGCTATTCAGACCCGACATATCCATGATCACTCTCATGATCTCTCTTCCCTTCCCCCCAGACCTGCTCTTTTCTAGTGTTTGCTCTCTCGGGGACTAGTACCACCTTCCATCCAGTGCCACATACATAGCAGTCATCTCTCATTGATACTTCTCCTTTGCCTGCCCCTTTCTTAAAACAATGATCACCAGTGTTGACTATCTTATTGCCTAAATATTTCAAATCTATAAACTCGCTTATTTTGACCACCATTATCTAAACAAACATCATGTGTTCCCTGAATCATTCTGCTCTTCTTTTCCTGCCATATTTGTTCTCAAATCAAGTAAGCAAAGTGATTCATCTTTTCAAAATTCAATCTGACCTCACTGCTCCCTTCTTAACCCTCAGGTGTCTTCTCATTGCTCTCCTAATAAAAGCCAAAATCCTTCCCATGGCCTGAAGAGCCCCTCATGATCTGGGCCCTGCCTGTCCCCCAGCTTCATCCAGCATGACTCGTGTTATTTCTGCTCTAGGCCCACTAGTTTTCTTTCAGTCCCAAGTGCTCCCTACGCACCTGGGGCCCACAGCACCTTTGCATTTGTGGTTTCATTCTGTGCCCAGGGAACTCTTCATAATAGTTCAGGCCAAAGCTGCCTTGGTCAACTGCTTTTTCTTGACCAGGCCAGATCACCATCCTCAGTGCCTCCTCAGAATTGCGCATCTGTCCTCCGTGCATAGATGTGATTATATTTGATCATTGTCTCTCTCCTCTTTTGGACCATAACTTCATGAGAGTGGGGGCCATGTTCCTCTGCTTCTAGAATTGTTCCTGGTAGAGGAAGCACCCGATATGTGTTGCATGAATGAATGCACAAATGCATAAATGAGTGAGCTGTAATAGCGCATGGTGCCACCGCATTTATCCCAGCCCCTGCTTACTGCCTTGTCATACTCGGCATGTTCTCTTCCCCTGCTCCATTCCAGGGACTTGTCTGCTTCATTTTTATGTACCCCACAGGGCTCCTTGCCTATGGTAGCTATTCTATAAATAAAACACTGGTTGATTGAATGAAATGGCAACAGCTCATTAAAGCCAAGAATTCTTTCAGTATCTAGAATCTTTTAGGAAAAAAGATTTTAATATCCATTTTTAGATGTCAAGATTTAAACCAGTTCTTGGGACTCATGGTTTAAATCAATTACTGACAAGATAGCTTAATTTGAGGACTAAAACTGCACAGGAAAATCATTGTCTGAGTGCTGGCAGCTACTGTCTTTTTCTCCTCCCGAAAATGTCTCTGGCTTTTATGATTTTTTTTTTTCTCTCTATATAGACACTAATTTGCAAAGCTTCTATTAACTATGGCAATAAGCATTTTCATGTCAGATCTATAAAGCTTTCACTTAGAAGTGAAATAATTTGTTTATTCCCATTCAAAACTCCTTGGATAGTAATTGATTGAAATTTGATCCAGTGTTTGTATAATCCTATGTTGGTTAAATTTTTCTTTTTGCTCAACTATAGATTCTTGGACTTAAATCAATAGTTTCTTTTAAATAAAAAATGAACTAGAGAAGAGAAAATACATTTTAATTTCTAGTGCAATTGATTAAAAAGGCATTTGATTAAGGAATGTTCCATCTCCTATAACTTAAACTTTGCAGAAAGTGTTTTTATTTTCAACTCAGACTCTCATGTTTAAGATGTCGATGGTAGGAACCATGGTGAGGAGACAGTCTCTGTACAGGAAGGCATTTTAGTAGAAAGTCTTCAGCCTGCCAGAGCCTCTGGGAGGAGTTATCTGGGTGACTAAGTGGAACCGAATCCTGTTCGTGAGTGTTCTGCAGAGAGGCAGTGAGAACAAGGACTGGAATGATAATTGCTGTGAGATGTGCAGATGCCCAGTGGGTTACTGTAGCTATGTGAGGTGGACTATCATCCGTGTGTAATGACCAATGGAAGCGGAAAGTGGGAATTGTCTCTTTGGCATTGACCCTTTAGGTTTTGTTTCTTTGACACTTACTCCCTATCCCTTCCTGCTGAAGACTGCTATAGGTAGAGGGCATTGAACCAGGAATTAGAAGTGCTGGGAAGTGTTCAGGTATTACAGTTGTGTCATTTTACCTGTGGATACCAGTTCTTTACATGTCAGGAAAAGGAGCTAGGAGAGATCAGATGAAAAGCTCAAATGCTGACAGGACTCAGAAAAGTGATGGCATGAGGGAGGTTGGTCAGGTTTAAGGGCAAACGCGTAAGTGAGGTGACCCCAGGTCTGTGATGAGTGAGGACACATCCCACCAAGGAGCTACAACTCAGCTGCACTTGAGGGAATATGGGGGCCCAGGGTGACTTGGGTTTCCAGTGTTTTGGGTTTAAAAAAAAAAAGTTACCTGTTTTAGGGAGTTTTTTTGTTGTTGTTGACAATTTCACTGTGAAATCTCCTGGATTTTTTTTCTTTTTTGAGAGTTGGCCAAAAAACAGACAACTTTTTAATACCATGCAGACCTATCAAAACCTATCTGTAGGCAGATTTAGCTCACAGATCACCAGGCTTCACCTCTGCGCTAAATGAGATATATTTCTAAATCTTATGATTCATTAATTTTCATCAATTATTTCTTCTGTCTCTTTTTACCACATCCTTTCTCCTACTGTATTTTTCTCTCCTTTATTTATATTACATTTACTTGTTGATAGATTAAGTTTAAAAAAACATTTATCAAGTTCTCACCATGTATCAGGTCATACTGAATAAGCCAAAGTGACTCAAAATATCATCTCTTATTGTCTTAGATAATTTATTTAGCAAGTTTTGCTGTAGATGGATGGAAACCTTTGATGTTTAGGGATCAGATAACTTAAATGGGCTTCATGAAGGACACCATGGAGCCTAGCAGGAAGTTCTGATTTATAAAATAAGGGCTGGAACCCAATGGAGATCTCAACTTCTTGTGGTTTGGATCAGAATGTGCTATAAACTCTTTATAATTTCATACAGAATGCAAGGAGAAAGCTAGATCTGAACAGCTTGAAGCCTTCCAACCCACAAGGAACCAAATAATGTTTAGAGTAGAATATTAGTACTGCAAGGCTGGAGAATTCATTTACAGCTTAAAATTTCCTATAGCAAACATGTGTTATAAGCTTTGGGTTTATCATAAAGGTTACAGTTAAAAGATTACCTTTCCAGGAGATTAATCAAAAGGTGATAATTCACCAGCTAAATATCTTGTCGAGCCCCTCGTTGCTATAAACATGTTAAGAAAGTGCATGAATCATGGAACCTTCTGTGAGATTTTGTCCCACCCTGCCTGGCCAGCTTCCAGCAGCGTTATTT